GTGACGAAGTTGGGATTTGTCCACGGGAATATGGTGGGTGCCTCAGTTTCCCTCTGGATTGCACCCGTGGCTAGGTGGCAGGAGTAAGGGTGTGTTGGGGGTGGGGAAGCACACTCCAGCTGCCTGCATGCTGGCTACAGCTGGCCCTTTGGAACTGAAGCCCCAGGAGGGCGTGACCAGGTAACTTTCAGCCCCAGCAACAGAGAAGCAGCAATGGGAGTGGGGACAGCCAGGCAGCTGGAAGTGAGGCAGGCTTGGCTGGCTAGGGGTGCAGGGGGAAGGCCAGAGCCTGGGCTCTGGGTTCCCTGCCCCGCCCCCCCGACAGACTTACTGAAGGCTCCTGTCCTCTGTGCTAACCAGCTCTGTTCTACACTGTGTCCCTGTGCACCAATAACCTCGCCCCAGGGTTTCATGCTGGCTGAGAGAGTTGGGTGCAGGGCCCCCCAGGAACCGGAAGATCTGCTGCGGGGAGCACAGGGGGATGCCGACTGCCCTGAGGTCAGGCCCAAGCTGCAGCAGCCGGCTCCGAGAGACAAGGTGCCACCCCAGCGTCCCACCAGGCTTCGGACAGAGCAGTGCCAGAGAATCAGCCCCACGGCTCCCTGATGTGGGAGAGGGCTTGTGAGCTGGTCAGGACAGGGGCCGTCTCTGCCTGGGTCTGTGCAGTGCTGGGGGCATCCATACAGCACCCGGTGCTAAACCAATACCCATGCAACCACAGAGAAGGCACCTCCCACCCACTGCCCCCTTTCTGGGATGCGCTCTGTGCCCGCAACAGACAGAGCGGAGAGGGACTGGCACTAGGAAAAGGACCCAGGAGTCCTGGCTCCCCGGCCCGGCAGAGACACTCACGTTTGTTGCGGTAGAAGTTTCCGGAGATGTTGATGCCCTCGCATCTCACCACCACCACCTTGCGCCCTGGGAGGAAGTCAGAGAGGGACCGTAGCCATTTGGGGAGCACTGCGGAGCCAGCCTGGGGCCCAGGAAGTACGGGGCACCCCGCTCTGCGTGGTCAGAGACTTGGGGGGCACAGGGGACTAGGACAAAGCCGCTCAGCTCATGAGCTCAGGGTCCAACCCCAGGGGCTAGCAGCCGAGCAGGGCCCTGGGGGAGAGGATGATTCAGGGCTGCAAACCTACTCTGCTCCTGCATTGAGCCCGGCTCTGGAGACCTGTTGGATACAAAATTTGCATCCACACCTGTCTGAGCAAACTGAGCTGCGGATACCGACATGCACGGCAGCCGCAGACCTGCAGGGCTCATCACCATGGACTTAAGGCCTGGGTGTCAGGAGAGAGGCAGAGGAGACTGGACGGTTTAACAGCATGGCCAGGGAGAGGCACCCTTAGCAAATCCAGCCTCCCAGATCCCTATTCTAACCACTAGACCCCACTCCCTTCCCAAAGGGGTAGAACCCAGGCGCCCTGGCCCCCCGGGTAGCGGTCTCAGATGGTAGTGCATGGATCGGGCGCTCTCATGGCTGTGACACTCGAGCACCGAGACAGCATCATCACAGACCTCAGGGGTGCAGGGCCCAGGTGTGGGGGGTATTTCCAGGCCTGGGGGGGCCCCCCAGCGATACTCACCCAGCAGGACCTGTTTGGCCACGATGGCTGCCAGGCGCCCCAAGAGGTGGGTAGCGGTCTCAGATGGTAGTGCATGGATCGGGCGCTCTCATGGCTGTGACACTCGAGCACCGAGACAGCATCATCACAGACCTCAGGGGTGCAGGGCCCAGGTGTGGGGGGTATTTCCAGGCCTGGGGGGGCCCCCCAGCGATACTCACCCAGCAGGACCTGTTTGGCCACGATGGCTGCCAGGCGCCCCAAGAGGTGGCCGCGCCCATCGATGACCAGAACCTGGCGGGGGAGGGGGGGGAGGGAAAGGGGGAATGTGGGGC